GTTTAGATCAACATGTTACCCTTTAATGGTTTAAAAATGTTGTATTTGACCAAAAACAATGTACGAATGATAATATCTAGATCATCGTGTTACCTTTTAATGGTTTGAAAATGCAAAAGAACGTATGATAACATGTTTAGATCACATATTACAACATTTTTCAAAACAATTAAAGTATTTGACCAAAACAATGTACGAATGATTATCTAGATCACCGTGTTACCTTTTAATGGTTTGAAAATTCAAAATAATGTATGTATTAACATGCTTTGATCACCATTTTACCCTTTAATGGTTTAAAAATGCAAAAGAATGTACATGTTAACATGCTTAGCTCAACATGCTACCTTTTAATGGTTTGAAAATGTTGTTATCTGTCCAAAACAACGTACGTTATTTAACATGTTTAGATCACTGTGTTACCTTTTTAATGTTTGAAAATGCAAAAGAAAGTACGTTTTAACATGTTTAGATCAACATGTTTCCTTTTAATGGTTTGAAAATGTTGTATTGTCCAAAAACAATACATTAATATGTTAGATCACATTTACCTTTTAATGGTTTGAAAAACTCAAAAGAGTACATATTAACATATTTAGATCACATGTTTTTAATGGTTTGAAATGTTTGTATTGGCCAAAACAACGTACACTATTATCATATTTAGATCACATGTTTGACCTTTTAATGTTTAAAAATGCAAAAAACGAACGTACGTATTAACAAGCTTAGATCACCGTGTTTCCTTTTAATGGTTTGAAAATGCAAAACAATGAAAGTATTAACATGTTTAGATCAACATGTTACCTTTAATGGTTTGAAAATGTTGTATTTGGTCAAAACAACGTACATATTAACAGTGTTGGGAGTAACGCGTTATAAAAGTAACAAATTACTGTAATGTGTTGCTTTTTGCTGTAACTCAGTAATGTGACGTTACAGAGGAAAAACATGTTATATTTTACTTGGTATTTTACCTGGTTTAGACCTGTTTAGTCCTGGTTTAGTTCTAGTTTAGTCTGGTTAGTCCTGGTTTAGTCCTGGTTTAGTCCTCATTCGGTCCTGGTTTAGTCCTCATTTAGTCCTGGTTCAGTCCTCATTTGGTTCTGGTTTAGTTCTCATTTGGTCCTGGTTTAGACCTGTTTAAGTCCTTGTTTAGTCCTGTTTAGTCCTGGTTTAGTCCTAGTTTAGTCCTGGTTTAGTCCTAGTTCAATCCTGGTTTAGTCCTGTTTTAGTCCTGGGTTAGTCCTCATTTAGTCCTGGTTCAGTCTTGATTCAATCCTGGTTCAATCCTGGCTTAGTCCTCGGTTTAGACCTGGTTTAGACCTGGTTTTAGTCCTTTGGTTTAGACCTGGTTTAATTCTGGTTTAGTCCTGGTTCAGTCCTGGTTTAGTCCTGGAAAAAAAAAAAAATAATAATAATTTTTTTCAAAATAATTTTTCCGTTTTAGTGTCAAACAAAAAAAACTGAATTCAACCTTCATTTCTTCCATCATGACTTTAAAACTTCAAATTAAATACTGGAAATAGACGTCAAAATCAGTTTTTTGTTTGACACTAAAACGGAAAAAATTAAACAACAAACCGTTTTCCCATTTATTACTTGAAATACGAATGGTACACGCACTTTTCAGCTCTGGAATTGCAAAGCTCCATTGCACAAAAGCAAAAAAAATGAGCCGTTAACTTGAAAACTACTCGAATTTTGGAGATGACAGATTAATGATAAAGAGTGAGTGTGTTTACGGAACATCAGTGTCCCGGTTTTGATCGGGTTTTTTGAGTGTCCCGGTTTCTTCATGGTGCATGTAAACGCAGTATCCCGGGTTCAGTGTCCCGGTTATGAGAAACCAGGGACACTGTAGCTGGTATATTCCGTTAGTAACGGGATACTGTGACCAACGTTAAAGTGACCAACGTAAATAAAGTGACCAACAAAATAAAGTGACAAAAAATAAAGTGACAAACATAAATAAAGTGACCAAAATAAAGTGACACATAAATAAAGTGACCAACGTAAATAAGTGACCAACAATAAAGACCAACGTAAATAAAGTGACAACAAAAATAAAGTGATCAACATAAATAAATAAAGTGACCAACATAAATAAGTGACCAACATAACGTAAATAAAGTGACCAACATAAATAAAGTGATCAACATAAATAAAGTGATCCAACATAAATAAAGTGAACAAACATAAATAAAGTGACCAACGTAAATAAAGTGACCAACATAAATAAAGTGACAACATAAATAAAGTGACCAACGTAATAAATACAATAAATAAAGTGATCAACGTAAATAAAGTGACCAACGTAAATAAAGTGACAACGTAAATAAAGTGACCAAAATAAAGTGACCAACGTAAATAAAGTGACCGACGAATAAATAAAGTGACAATAATAAAATAAAATAAGTGATCAACGTAATAAAGTGATCAACATATAATAAAGTGACAACGTAATAAAGTGATCGACAAAAAGTAAAAATTGACCGTAAAAAAGTGACCAACGTAAATAAAGACAACGTAAATAAAGTGAAAATAAAGTGACAAGTAAATAAAGTGATCAACGTAAATAAAGTGACCACGTAAAATAAGTGACAACAAAATAAATGTAAAATAAAGTGATCAACGTAAAGTAAACGTAAAGTAAAGTGATCACGTAAATAAAGTGATCAACATAAATAAAGTGACGTAAACAAAGGACCAACGTAAATAAAAGTGACCAACGTAAATAAATGATCAAAAATAAAGTGATCAAATAAAGTGATCAAAATAAATAAAGTATCAACGTAAATAAAGTGAATAAATAAAAATGTGACCAACGTCACATAAGTAAAGATCAACGTAAATAAAAGTGTACCAACAATAAATAAAGTGACCAACGTAAATAAAATAAACGTAAATAAAGTGACCAACATAAAAGTAAAGTGACCGACATAAATAAAGTGACCAACGTAAATAAATAAAAAACATAAATAAAGTGAACAGACAAAAACATAAAAAAGTGACCAACGTAATAAAATGCTCATGAGTGAAACAACTGTAAAATAAAGTGCTGCGCTAAACCAGCACACGTACAATCTGCATGCATCTTTTTCCTGGTTTATTAATTTAAGTTGAGTAAATTTTTGCACTTGTGCATTTATGAGATTATGTCAAGAAACCGGGACACTCCATTTGATCATGTTCACGGGGATATGAGTGTCCCGGTGTCTCAGCGCGCATGGAAACGCAGTAACCCGAATACTGACAGAACCGGGATAACTGATGTGCACGTAAACACACTCAGTTACTCAAACGTGTGTGTGAATGAAACAAAACACAACTCCAGTTCTGAATACGTAACAACACAATAAGAGTAAATTTGGCGTAATATCGGACCTTTAAGCTGTGCACATGCCTGGAAATTCACGCTACAGTCGCCAAAGTGCCAAAGGGTTCATGAAAGCGAAGAACAAGTCAAATTTAAATACGTTTTGTTTCGTTTCGTGGTTTGAAAACGGGCTAAAACAGCTCTAAGTGAATGAATAATGCAGCGAATCATAAAGAACGGTGCCGCATAAAAACATCTGTATTATAATGTCGTTGGGAGCGCAGCTACGGAGCCGTCGGATCGTCTCTCCTCACGTTATGTTAAAATGTAAATAAGAGTTCCATATGCGAAAAACCCGCGCGTCTCCGTACGGCTGGTCGGTGCCGCGGAGCCCGGGCGCTTCGGCGAGAGGGGGCAGGACGCTCGGAGTACGACCCAGCTGCGGATGAGTTTTCCTGGATCGGATTCGGAACGAGGAGCCAAACCCTGGAGCGAATGAAGAGGAGGAGGAGGAGGAGGAGGAACACGCAGAGGAAGTGCAGAGGAAGTACAGCGAGGTCAGGGGTGGGAGGGCGTGTGTGTGTTTAAGCAGGGCTGGAAGACGAATCGCAATCGGAATGAAATTGAAAGTATCATCGTTTCTTCTGCAAATAAAATCTTAAAATGTGAACTTTGAAAAAAATCTGTTCCATCATTTTTTGAAATCGTCCAGACCGTTTTGTCACACGCACAAAACACTCTGAAAGAAGAAACAATACAATCCAACAGTTTTCTTCATTATTTGTCTCCAAACCAAAATTTAAAAAAACGGATAACGATTAGTTTTTTTTCAGTTTTCGATTTTGTGTTTAAATGAAAAATGGAAAAAAAACGGATAACGGGCGTTTCTGTTTACGTGACTTCCGTGACTGGCGATGTCAGACTTTTGCACTGCATTACAAACTGACTGATCCAGGTCCAGGACCAGAGCGGACTCCGAGCTTTGACTCTGAGCCTCAGCTTCGAGTTCTGGCCCTGCGTGGGCTCTGAGCCTCCGGTCTGGTCCCGGCCTGGTCTCGGTCTCAGTCGGTCTCAGTCTCAGTCTCGGTCTCAGTCTCGGTCTCGTCTCCGTCTCAGTCCGGTCCTCAGTCCCGGTCTCAGTCCTCGGTCTCTCCGGTCTAAGTCCCAGTCTAGTCTGGTCTGGTCCCAGTCTCAGTCTCGCCTCAGTCCCACTCAGGTTCTGGTCTGGTCTCGGTCTGGTCCCGGACTGGTCCCGGACTGGTCTCGGTCTCGTCCCGGTTCTGGTTCAGACCTGGATCAGTCCGGTTCAGTTCGTATGCAGTGCAAAAATCCGCCATCGCATTCGGCCGTTATCTGTTTTTTCCATTTTTCATTTAAACACAAAATCAAAAACTGAAAAAACAAATATTATCTGTTTTTTCATTTTGGTTTTCACACAAATAATGAAGAAAACTGTTGTTTTTCGTTTTCTTATTTTTGGTTTCAATATTGAAAAACGAATGAATGACACAGGTTCAATTCGCCAATTCAAATTGAACCACCTTAATGTTTTGGATTATAAGTGGCATTTTTCTTCATGGTTTGGGCGTTTTCCTGCGACTTCTATATTCATATGAAGATACTCGACCATAATATTCTGCGTAATTATTGATAAATCACAGTATATCGTCCTGTGTTTTAGTATCAGGTTTTATTGTGATTTATTGAACCGTGTTAAATGTGTAAAGTCAGATTCATGTCAGTGCAGATTCCTCCTGTACACATGATGTTGTGAAGAGTTTCTCTGCTCAGTCCAGACTGATATCTGAGAGGATTTTTCATACAGAGTGATTTCAGTCTGTTTCTCATTACCCCGTCGCATCTCGAGCCAGAACCAAACATGATCGTCCAATCAGATTTGTTTATTCCAGTGGCACATGTGAAACGAAGGAGCTCATTGGTCACTTATTATTTACAAATAAAATCAAATTTCACACATTTCTCTACATCAGATTAACAGAGTTTAGAGCTCACTGATTCTGCAGACAATCGTGTTGAAGCTTTGTTCCCTCGTCTTTTTTTGCCTCGTGAGCAGCCGGATTTGTTTGGACACAGACAGAACATGTGTGTCAGTGATTGGTTAATCCACACTTTTCAACTCTGACACCGCGGACAGAAACATTTTATCTGGAGACCGGTGAGACTCTCAGGTGGAGGAACTGTCAGATTTCAGATGTTTTACCTGGTTCATGGTTTATATATTATATATATATTATATCATGGGCCTTCTGTCTCTGTGCACAGACTTCGATGTATTTTTTTTTTCCTCAAACACAGGGCACAACTGCTGTCAGTTAAAAAACTTACAGATATGGTCAATGGTCAGTGTGGGGAGTAACAGATTACATGTAATCAGAGTACAAATGATGAGTAACTGTATTCAGTTACAGTTACTGTTTCAGTGAGTGGTAATTGGATTACAGTTACTTTGTTGAAATAAATGGATTACACAGAGGGATTTTCCTGTTTTCACATTTTGGGCTAGAAACCAGCCAGGTCTAAACCAGGAAACCAGGTAAACCAGTAAACCAGGACTAAAACCAGGTCTAAAACCAGGACTAAACACCAGGACTAAACCAGGACTAAACCAGGTCAAACCAGGTCTAAACCAGGACTAAAACCAGGACTAAACCAGGTAGGACTAAACCAGGTCTAACCACTCTAAACCAGGACTAAACCAGGTCTAAACAGGTCTAACCAGGACTAAACCAGGACTAAAGCCAGGACTAAACCAGGTCTAAACCAGGACTAAACCAGGACTAAACCTGGACTAAACCAGGTCTAAACCAGGTCTAAACCAGGCTCCTAAACCAAGACTAAAACCAAGTCTAAAGGCAGACTAAACCAGGTCTAAACCAGGACTAAACCAGGGACTAAACCAGG